GCTCTGCCTCGGGCTTCCTGTAGTCAGCCGCTGGTCAGTTTCAGCAGCGGCTGAATCGGGGACACCTGGGGTGCAATATGTACCAGTTCCGACTTACTTACAAATTCAACTTAAGAACAAACCTACAGTCCCTATCTTGTATGTAACCCGGGGTCTGCCTGTACATATAAATACATTTTTAGCAAAAATGATTGTGATTGGCTCTGCCTCGGGCTTCCTGTAGTCAGCCGCTGGTCAGTTTCAGCAGCGGCTGAATCGGGGACACCTGGGGTGCAATATGTACCAGTTCCGACTTACTTACAAATTCAACTTAAGAACAAACCTACAGTCCCTATCTTGTATGTAACCCGGGGTCTGCCTGTACATATAAATACATTTTTAGCAAAAATGATTGTGATTGGTAACTTCCTTTTTCTGCTTGGTGGTGCAACATGCTGTGAAAGTTTTGTGGCCTTGTGGGTGTACCTACTGCTCGTTTAATGAGCACAAACCATCATTCACTTGTAGGAACTAGTGTCAGAGCACCTTGTTTTAGTGGAGATAATGGTTCATTGACTGATAATCCACTGTGCTGTGTTATAAAGGGCAGAGTTGAGGGTCTCTACTCATTTTTCAATTCTCACAGACAGTTACGGAGTTCCTTAGGTGTTCCAGCAGTATAATATTTTGCTGCCTGTCATAGGAATGTGAACGGGTAACCGGTTACACTAGGTGCTACAGTTGGGGTGTTGGAGGGGATTTGGGGTGCTGCTTCGGTTCTGGTTGGGCTGCGCTTACCTCAGGCAGTTCCCAGAAGCAGCCAGCACATATACCTTGTAGGTGATGGGCCTAGGGGATTCTGTGCATTGTCTGTTGATGAATCCAGTTGACCTTGAGGACAAATGTTCAGAGGTTTTTTTAGTACTTTTTGCATGCACGGTGCCATGACAAAATCTTTAGATGAAAGAGTTGTCTCTCTCCAAAGTGTGCTGTATAAACAGCCTAAGCATCTAATCAGTCTGATACTTTTCCTGACTGCAATGTAGTGATTTGAGTTGATTTAAGACACTGATTAGATTGGCCATACAAGAGACTATCAGTGTCAATACACCAAGTTGCAGCAGTTTAACTAAATCCGTATCAAATCACATCTTCGGTTAGTCATGCAGTTTTATCTGTAAACCAGGGGTTGAATTTAGGGAGAGCACTAAACCTATTTCAAGTGGTAACATTGTGACCAAAGATTTCCCTGCAGTCTAAGACAGGAAATGAAGGAATATTGTGTTGAACAGAACCTCCACACAAGTTAAACTGGTAACGTCCATGTGGAGCTGGCAAAGTGCTTTTAGTCTGTTGGCATGAGGAGCTCTGTATAAATGTCAGTTATTCTGGCTGCGTAGGGTTTTGATTTCAATACTGAAATATTGTTTTTCTTCCTATCCATTGCTATGCAACTCGTTTCACTTATTTTTTCCATCCTAAAAACTGGCAGGGTAAAGATACAAAAAACCGTTCAGCTCTTTCACCGCTCCAAATAAAAAAAAAATCCTAACTTTAAATACAAAATGTTGTTGGATAACTATTATGGGATTTGCCCTCTTGGATTCAAACTGATTTCAACTTGTTAGTTATTGTATGTGATATGAATTTCTGAACAATCAAATGCAACTTTCCAAGGAGATTGTATGTCAGTATTCGTTATCTAAATTTAGATAATCTCTAGTAAATTCTTTTATACTGATTAATTTACCATCCACTTCAGGCATAACAGGAAGGGTCAAAGTTATTAAAATAAATAAGTCTCTTTCAATCAATAGTAAGTGATACTTCTATGGGACCCTTCAGCCAAGGTACCCAAAACATTTCTCAAATATTTTAAACTTATCAGAACTGTATAGTATTATTTTCCACCATAAAAATGTCCGTGTTTCATTAGCGATAAGAGTAATTTAACAATGCCTAATAGTACCCCTTTGAAGCCCTCCAAGGGAGGTGATCAGAATTGGAATCTGGCGAAGACCTCAAATTATCCCATTTATTCTAAAACTGTAATGTGTTTCTTCAAGGCTTCATTTTCAAAAACATCAGAAGTCCAAGGCTATGGACAGTTTTACATCTAATTTATTCAAGTCGTGTGTGGAAGTTAGATTTGGCTAGTTACGTGGAGTTGCTAATGGATAGAGAAGGGAACCCAGGGTCAAAGAAGGAGGCTACAGGGAGCTAGTCTGCCTAAACAAACAGAGGAGGTGACCGAGAAAAGGAAGACTCTTAAAGAAAGGTGTGGATGACAAACTGGGAAGTGCCTTGGAGGAAAGCCTGAGGGATCAGAGCATATAGATCATCTCCCATTGCAGTAAATGTGGGTATTTTGAAAGGAGGCTTCTTTCTTGGAATATAAATCGGTGTTGGGAGATAGGATTGTTTTATTGTGAGATTCATCTGGCCTGAGTAGGGCTGGGGTGGAGATAAAGGTTAAACATCCTGAAGTTTCGATGGTCTCAGCGTATCCAAAACTCCGGAGTCCAGGTTCTCCAATAGCTAGTTTTATATGTAGCCTTGTGAGTGGGACCTTCTGTACACAAATGAAAGTAATCTTTTATGAAACAACATCTTGTGTTGGTATCAAGTCATGATACAACACACAGGGGGCAGAGACTATTGGATTTTCATTGAAATTTCAGTTGAGGCTTAGTTAATGCAAGAGATCCATACAAAAACAAAATAATTCACCAGCATGGGAATGGTCAGTCTGTGAGCATAAGTCAAATAGAGGGAGAATGCTATGAGACAT